AGTACCCGTCCATAAAGCTCCAATGAACACACGAACAAAAAATAATTTCATACTGCATCGTTCATCGCTCAGGATAATCAGGACCGCGCGGTCCATTGCATCGAGCGGGGTGGGTAGTGAGTGATAAGTGGGCTACTGTTCAGATATCCCAAAGTTAGTTTAATTCTCTGTCTTCCGTACTCAGTCCTCTCCATTCACCTCTTCTTCCGACCCGTAAGATTCCCTCAGACAACTTGGTCGTCACTCGCCAAAGGTCTTTGGCAAATAGCACTGTAACTTGTTTTTCTGTAAATAAAGTGCAGATTCTGAAGCCTCGTCAACCTCTCAATCTGGCGGCTTTCAACGTGAGGACTCTTTTGCAGGTGGATCAACAGGCGTGTCTTGCGCGTACAATGCAGTCTCTAGAAATCGATGTCTGCTGCGTATCGGAGACACGAATTCAGGATACTAGTATTATAAGCCACCTGAGTGCGCCGGGTCTGTCCTCGAATTATTTCCTTCACACATCAGCAGAGGACGCAGCCCGCTCACTGGGTCAGCATGGTGTAGGTATCATACTAAACGATAAAGCTGAAGCCTCTGTGATAGATTGGATACCCATCAATAGTCGTCTGTGCGTAATGAGGCCACAGGGTTCAGTTAGTGTTCGGAAGGGTAGCAACACCAAAAGGTGTTTGTTCATTATTTCCGCGTATGCACCAACCAACTGCAGTCCCGACTCACAAAAGGATGAACTTTATGACAAACTCGCCGAACTGATTCGGTTGAGCTGCAACTCTGATACTATAGTGCTGGCAGGTGATTTTAACGCGCAGGTTCGAAAACTGAGCGCATCCGAAGCCTGTCTAGGAGGGCACTTCGCCCTCCCCGCCCAGCGAACAGATAACGGTGATCCATTACTTCAGTTCTGCGCGGATCACCGGCTGTTCCTATCTAGCACCAATTTTCGACACAGCTCTCGTCAAACGGCTACATGGTGTTCTTATTCAACGGGCACATTGACCCAAATTGACCACGTAGCTGTAAGCTACCGTTGGCGTGGTTCAGTACAAAATTGCAGATCCTGTTGGTCCACCTGCGTTGAGTCGGATCATACACTAGCTCTGCTACGCTTCGCTCTTCGACTCGTTGATCATCGGCAGAAATCGCCTCCTCAATTAGCTCACCATCGTCTGCGTGATCCAGCTGTCCGCGCATGTTATAAAGAGAAGCTGGGAAAGGAGCTAGGAGAACCACGACATAGTGGAGTAGACCAGCAGTGGGATCAGATTAGGTTTGCGATGCACTCGGCTGCAAAGTTATTTGTGGGATTGAGCCCGAAGTTCCCCGAAGGCACTGGATCTCTCAGGAGTCAGTAATCCTAATGGATCAAAAGCGAAAGATCCCAATCTGCCAGGATCAGCATAAGGACCGGTGTCGTCTGCAACGTCAACTCAGAAATAGCCTTAAGAAAGATTGTGAAAATTGGTGGGCCGAAATAGCTACTGAACTGGAGGTAGCTTCTGCATCAGGGAGTAGTCAAAGACTATTTCACCTGATACGCAAAACCGGAGGTCGTCGCATACCGGTCAGTGAGACCATTTGCGATAAAAGTGGTCAAAGCATCCACAATAAAGAACAATGACTTGATCGCTGGGCAGAGTATTTTAGAGAACAGTTCAATTGGCCTGATGCTAATGTGGTCATTCCAGCAATTGCGGCGGAAACCCCATGGGTGGTAACATGCGAACCAACATCAGAATCGGAAGTACTACGCTGCATTCAATCAGTAAAGAAAGGAAAGGCTGCGGGACCTGATGGGCTTCTCCATATTCTTTTCAAGGTGGGCGGAGATTCTCTTATTGACTCAATTACTAGCCTACTTAGCAGCATTTGGACGGAGGAGCGTATCCATTTGTCCTGGGGTAAATCGACGATTGTCCATATTCTCAAGAAGGGATCACGCGACGACTGCGTTAACCATCGTGGGATTAGTTTAGTTCCGATAATCACAAAAGTGTTGACTTCTGTGATACTTCGCCGCCTGACACCCTTAAGGTAGAGGAATATCCGCGAACAACAAGCCGGATTCCGACCAGGTCGCGGGTGCATCGACCAAATCTTCACTGTGCGTCAAGTCCTCGAACTGCGTCACACACATCGTTGGCCAACAATCGCAGTGTTCCTTGACCTTAACGTAGCCTTCGATTCAGTTAATCGTGAAGCTCTTCTGGGGTCGCTGCTCCGCAAAGAAATGCCGCGGAAGTATGTAAACATATTGCGGTCGTCGTATCTGCATACTTCTGGTAGCTTAAGGGTTTACGGTGGGTTAAGTAAATCGTTGGAAACCAGGAGCGGTGTCCGTCAAGGGTGCCCTATTTCGCCATTCCTGTTCAATTTCGTCGTAGACGAAGTTCTGGAGAACGTATTTACTGGTCTCTAAAAAGTAGGTATTGAATGGGCAGCTGGAGAACAGCTGTGCGATTTGGAGTACGCTGATGACATCGCATGTCTGTTCGAATCTATGGAGGATGCGCAATGCGCTATTCACAGACTAGCAAGTTCTGTATATCCTTTCAGCATACACTTTGCACCTTCAAAGTACAAAGTGATGCTAGAAGACTGGGTGTCGTCTACCCCAGCACTGATGCTTGATGGTCAAGAATTAGCTGTAGTGGAATGTTTCACATAAATAGGTAGCTGCGTTCCAAATGACGGTAGCATAGTCAATGAAGTAACCGCCCGCATTTCCAAGGCTGGAGCAACTTACGCAGGACTGAAACACCTTTGGTGTAGACGCGATGTTTCGGTGAAACTGCAAGGTCGTGTATACTGAACCAGTGTGCTGCCAGTTCTGCTCTATGGTTGCGAGAGCCTACGTTTGCGCGTGGAAGATATTCGTCGTCTTGAAGTATTCGACTTCAGATGTTTACGTAGTTTGGCTCGGGTTGGATGCAGCGAGCTTGTAAGCAACTCTGAGGTGAGGCGTCGCGTATTTGGTAATGATTCGATGGAGAATTCTCTATCCAATCGAATTCAGATTAGTCGACTTTGCTGGTTAGGACACGTATTGCGCATGTCCAGCCATCGTCTGCCGCACCGCGCCTTATTCGCAGTTACGGCTCCAAGTTGGAAGAAACCGCGTGGTGGTCAACAGATGACGTGGAAGCGTAGAATCGGTATTTCCCGTCTTCCAGGTTAGGGTCCGAAAGACCATACAACTGGTTGGCTGGAGACATTAAAGGATATGGCGACTAAACGACAACAGTGGCGTTCTTGTTGTCATGAACACTTAGATTGTGTACTCTGTGTGTTGAACATAGAGGTTCTTTTTCTTTGCCTCCCTCCAATTAGGCCCAATCTCTCTCCATCTCTTGCTTTATCATTTGATTTGTGTACATTGTGAGCTTGGCAGCGATCAGTGAAGCTCGCTTCACTGTATCTCCTGTGGTCTTTTCCTCGCGCATCGATTACGTGGGACATTGCATGCAAATGCCAGTTCGGTCTAGTGTTAGCGTAACTCAGTCAGTGATTGCTAATTCTTGATTCGTATTCCGTCGTGATTCGTATTGTGTGGTCCGTATTTCGAGTTCAGTGCGTACCACTTACTTACCTGTTATCTATGCATAATACGCGAAAATGGAACAGGCTGTATACTGAATTCAATTATACGGGACTTGTTCTTGTGATCCATCAGCGTTTGGAGCTTTATCACTGCTCCGATAGTGAACATTCGTAGGAGACATAATGCATATTCACATTCCCCTTGTTCCGTTTGGCAGTGGTCCTCGTTTACGCACAAACATAGAAGAACATACGGACACTCGGTTTTCAATCGAGGTTTGATCCACATCGAGGTCTTTATGATCGGCAGTCAGGTTAGGATAGCTTTATTATGACTCATTCACAATCAGTCGTGTCACGTGTATGATCAACAAGCTGCAATCGAACTGACAGCCAATCAGGGTCGGGTCCATGTCGGCCGGCGGTACTGGCATAGACAAGTGCGTGAGATTGATCAATCTGAGTAGATATCAATCGATAACATTTGTAGAACGAGCAAATTAACGATGCGACAAATACGCAATCGGGTGATGAAACAGATTCAAACATGGGTGCAAAATCAGATGTGGCACTCGAGGTTAAATCCGCTGCATAGAAATGACAGTCGAAGCTACAAGACCCCATCAGCCATCAGCGAAATCGTCCTGGATATAAATCGTGAAGTACTGTACCACTGTCTTTTATTTGGAAATTAATCTCGGGAAACGCTTGCTTCAAATTGAAATGTATTGGTTCTTTTCTTTCCTCTTCACTGTCACTTCATTTCATTGAGTGCAAGTTTCAAAAACGGGAAGGAAGCGGTCAATCAAACGGGGCTGTCATACAAGGGGAAATTCAGGTGTTGCTGTTGTTGTTGCTGGTGGTGTCGGTGGTGGTGTCGGTGGTGGTGGTGTCGGTAGCGTTGGTGGTGATAGTGTCAGTGGTGGTGGTGGTGCCGGTGGTGGTGGGATAATTTGGTTATTATTGTCACCGTACCACCACCACCTTCATTAATGTATTTTCTCACAGATCTGTGCACCTTACTATGCCATTCAAAAGTGCAAGAGTATATGGAAAACAGTAATTTCCGATGCTATGTAATTAAGTAATTTCTTTGCAACATTGACCATTTTCTTTTGTGTGTCTATGTGACCTGTGGAATCCCAATACGTGACTGTTCCACATACGAATGCGGTTGAGTAGTTCAACTTTTGTACCCAACATAAAGACGATTATTGGTCATCACTAGTTGTCAAGTCATTATGATCAAGCTCGGTAGATGCATGCATCATTTTCATGTGGATATGTTTGTTACAGCCGATAATTGTGACGCATCTCTGGTAATTAAAGGGACCTCACTTTTCAACATGTATCATTTGACAAGCGAGGTCCCGGTAGTCAAGTGACATATATATAGTTATACCCAAAGAATAAACATATGTACACACACACACAAAACCACAGAGAGAAATTGGGCTTACCTGAAAGTGTAAAATAATAGTCCATATAAGTCCGAGCGTGAGACGCGGATTTCCGTCCACAATATCCTGTGCGCCCAAATTTTCCAAATGCGCTCCCTGAGCACACAAAAATCGTAACGCTTTGCTTACATTCTCCAATCGATGAATACGCATATGACTCTGATGGGGATCCGCCTGAAGAGGGGATATGAACCGGTGCATAAGTTTGAGTGGACAGAGGGGGTGGTGGCCAGTGTATGTATTTTGACGGACAGGAACATGAGAAAAGTTCAACAAGTTTACCTGCATCTGTAAAAAGCAGACATATGTGATAGTTACGCTTCGTATATCACGTGGTTTCTATGGCAATGAAAACTCTGTGAAACAAATAAAACGAAAGCGGACTTATTTGTAGTGTCATGAGTCAGTCTGTTGAGTCCTCGGTAAAACCAATGGGTTCCGCTAACTCTTTAATCTTTTATAATCAATCAAATGTCGGACGTCACCATCACAACCGAAATTCATGAATTCACAAGGGATTGAAACATACATCTGCACAATAATTGATCAAAAAGCATTTAACAGTTCATTCGACTTTGAATGTATTCTTCAACTATTTTCGCAGGGTGCTTTGTCTCCGGTTCTGAGCTCTACTCAAATCACGAACATCCGTGTTATGCGGGTCGAAACACGTGACAGTCAGCTTTGTGATCGATGAACAACATTTGAGTGCAAATTTGTGTGAATTCGAATCCGATTCATCTATCATCCAAAGCGAATTCACAAACATCACAGACACGATGGGTCTCAGTACGGCCAGGGTAAACCATCACTTGATCTTTCGATCAATAAGTCAACAACCTCAAAAATGATAGTTCAGTGGTGGCAGTGGGTGGTAAATAAACTCCCAGCTAGAGTGTGACACATATCAGGACAACAGTGTACACATTTTCATTTCCGTGGATTGGTACGCAATTAGAAAATAGCCGCGTTTGAGCGAAATGTCTATCTTTTCTTACTTAAACCGGACTCAATGGATGTTTGTTGAATTTGGAGGTCTGTTTGAACTAGGAGATAACAGATAGCTATAAGTTCTTGACATGGAGAGAACAGTGGTGCAGCGATTCCTGAGATTTCTCGTTGATGAATGAAGTTTTCCCGCTCTGTGATTCCCAAGTGTCTCACACGCAACCCAAATCTTCCAAATTATACTACCTAAACAATTCATGACCCAATTCGCTCAATGCTATTGAAAAATTCGAGTCCATACCTGTATGCCGAATTCATGTACGTCACGCTATCGGGATATGGATGAGAGCTCTGTTAATTGAGAATTCTGTTCGGACAATATTGAACAGTTAGAGCTTCACAGAAGCAGCTCCCGAACCCGGGTTCCAGTCACATTGGATTTTGGCGTATTTACTTTACCAGCAATTACTAACACAGCGGCAAAAACTGAACACCACCGTTCTCAAGGTATCAGGGACTTGAGTAACAAGTTGACCCAGACAGGTTTCATACCCTCATCAGGGTTGCAAAGATGAATCAGGCTATATCATGTGCATGTGTTTGTTTGTTTATTTTGCGTCAGCGACCGACGAGATTAAACGAAATNGAAATATGAAGATCTCGCAACATTTATCATCTTTCGATAATGAAAGAATGAATAAAAGGAACACAATGTTTGTGAAATTCATTATGAAACAAAAACTTCCATGAAAGGCTGTTTCTTTGCTTCACTTTGTTTTACCCATCTACTGGTTTTCACCCCCCATCACAATGAATCTCGAGCTACATATACGCACATAGTCAGTACCGATGGGGAGACGGAAGGCACAACACAAAAAATAATCAACTTTCAATGCCCTACTAGAATAATTTTATTTTATATACAATAATGATATAAGTAATATTCAAGCTCTGCTATTGTTGTTTTTAGTGGTAATGGTGATGGTGGTTATGGTTATGGTGGTGGTGGTGGCGGGGGGGG